AGGACAATACAGTGTCAACTTCTTGGCCCATTATTGCCCTTCCCACTCTACTGGGTGTCATCTTCAAAAACATATGTTCCCCCTTATAGTAAGTTCCAAAGACTTCCTCCTCTTATTGGCATAAGATTTCTGCCTACTCTAGGTAGTATCCTCATCCTTTCTTGTATCTCCTTCACCTTCTCAATAGTTTATAGGACTCATTCTGGCTCTACAACTACCGACTCACCCTCTTTATACCAACACGAATAAGTGCCTTTATAGATAAAATGTCTAACTTTCTTTTAACGAATATCTATGATATATTTTTTTATAACAAATATAACTTCTAATCTATAAAGCAATACTTTTATCTTAAAAACATGAATACTTAGTATCAATCAAATGATCTGAGATATACCTATATGTTTATGTGATATACCTATATGTTTATGTGAAATATCTTTGGGATACATGTACATTTATTGATATGAACATGTTTGCTAACCTCAAAGCACAATGATCGAGACTTCCTATCCTCACTAAGGAAGGTAAGTCAAAAAGTAAGGAAAGCAAAAATTGTTCGTTGCTAAGTCAAAAAAGAAAATCATCTTTCATGTGTAAAACTATCACTTATGACTCTTATGGCATACAATCTCTTATCAAAGTTACGTGAAAATTCATAAATACACTTTAAAAAATTCAAACAATAAGAAAACCCTTTCTCTATCAAAGGATCTCTTACTCTCATCTATAGTGTACTGGCAAGGTCTTTCGGCCACCATATAGTCGACACCCGATCGGTACCTGAAAGACCGAACCAAGTGACCGACACCCAATCGGCACCTGAAAGGCCGAACCAGGTGGCCAACGGCTGATCGGCCATTGGATACCTATGGAATATGAACTATCATTAATCTGGGGACAAGAATTATCCTTAATCAAGAGTTAAGAGTTAATCACATTGATAAGCCGATTAGAGGCGTATTACCTAATATGGTAATCTTGTCATAGGACCCAGAGGGGTCAGGGCCCATAAATGTCAGTATAAATAGCTTAAGTAAAAAGGTAACGTCACTGTTCATTAATTATCCTAGATACTCGTGCTTGTTCTGACTTGAGCGTTGGAGTGCCTTTTGCAGGTACCAACCCCTTCACCAGAATATTCTATTGGAGTACTCATTCGGCCCTTCACTACCCAGAAGACTACGAGTGTATCCCAGACAGGTACATATATAATGAAGACTATAAGAAGATACAATATTATTTGTAAAATGCTATTCATCGAATGATTTCAACACAATTGTGATATTTATTTATCCTTTAGTGCTGTAACTACGATTAAACTGTATACCGACTCTGTGAGTACTTTCTCCATACTCTCTATGTAAGTTAATTACAAATTACATTGAATGGAACCTAACTATAAAACTTGAGTTAAGTAATGTTTGAGATAAAATTATTGTGTCGAAGGAATTAAATATAACTATTGAAGATTGAACCTGTATGAATCTTTATATTCAAAACTTTTCTTCTTTCCTTTTATATCACATTATATTGTCAAAATGACTTTTTGGATACTATATTAAAAAATTCTTTTGTGAAAAAACTTTCAACACGTCACACACAAAATTCATCTTTTTCTTTATGTTTATTTTATTTCAAAATGCATTCATTTTTTTTTATAAATACACGTAGCATAATTTTTTTTAATGAAATAAAATAATAGATTAATATTGGACCATGCTTTAATCTATTTTAACTTTTTAAATCAAAATTAGTCTATTAAAGACAGTGAAAAAATAGTGAAACTTTAAAATTATTTAATTTTTATTAAACTACCAAGGTTATCCATAGGCATGGCAACGGGGCGGGACGGGGGCGGGTCCCGCAAATTTAAACCGCCTCCGCCCC